TACGTCCAACCGAACGAGAGGCATTTTTACGCAAGATGTTACTACGCCGAAAAACAGTCGCCCACTGATTTCGTGATCGCCCTGGAGAACGTTAACGAACGAGGATATCATTCTTGCTCGTACCCGTACAACGCTCCTTTCGAGTACACGTTGGCGGCGATGCGCGAGTTAGGACGATTTCACGGTAAAGGGTACGTCATGAAGGAACTGCAGCGGGAAAAGTTCTTCGACGTCGTGGCGCGACTGCAAGAGTCTAGATACGTGAAAATAGGAAAAGAAAACGTGTTTGAAGTTTATTGCAATGTTAAGGTGATGCGATCGTTGGAATATCTCCGCAGACAAGGCCACGATGCAGCTTTCTGTGACAGGATGGAAGCCTTCCTCACGAACGCGTTTGACGAAGTGATGATGAAGATAATAAAGCCGCTTGAACCTCTGGCCACGATGTGCCACGGCGACTTTCTATTGAGCAACATTCTCTTCAAGGCGGATGAGGATGGACGATATCGCGCGATGCTGATCGACTTCGCGCTTATTACATATTCGACGCCCGTCGTCGATCTCTCCACGTATCTCTACAACTGTTGTTCGAATGAAGAGATACGAGAGAAATTTTTCGACATCATGCGAGCTTATCACGACGCGCTGATGGAGTATTTGCTGGACGCTGGCGTTCAAGACGTTGAGAAATATTCATATAAGGCTTTGTTGGACGATTTTAGGAGGGGCGCTCTCTACGGTTTTATTCTCGCATCCCATTTTTTACCGGTAATATTGGGATATCTCAAATCAGAAACGTTAGTCCAAGACATAATCAGTCTAGATTTTTTGGTAAGTGCAAAGAAGCAAAAATATGTCGGCGGAGACAAAGTATGTAAAATACTTGCTGATATATTGCTGCATCTGAGAGATCTTGGCTGCTTGAAACATATTTTATAATGTGAGATAATTCACATAAAATGCATATATAAGATATAATTTATATCGTAACGATTAGTAACTTATAGTCGAAAGATTTTTAAGTCATCGGGTGATCAGGTAATATATAGATTCGTAATTATATTAAAGGCAAAAGATTTATTTTATAAATATTGCTGTCTCTCTCTCGTTGTCATTTCTATACGAGAAATAGTAGTTACATTATAATACAAAGACCGAATTGCAAGTGTAATTAGAGTCGAAATATATTGAATCACACTCGACTTTATAGTGTCTTGTGCGATATATTACGGATAAAATTGTATATCATAGTTAAAAACTTCGTTATCGTAATAATATTCAATTCAAAGGAAGTAATGCAAACGCGTATAACTAACAAAAACTAATAAATAATAAATGTACATCTTATTTTAATAATAATTAAAATTCACATGAAAATATCTTGAAACATAGTATATATTGTCCGTTTATATAAACTTGCCTTCGCCTCATTAACGTTTTTGTAAAATTTTAAAGCATCTTTACAACGTCTTTTAGACACGTGTGCTGTCTACACTGTTAAATTCGTAGTGTCAAATTATACTCAATTTGAATCATTTTTAACAATTCCTATAGGTCGCCACTGCTCTTACTCAATATGTCGTTAATTTAACTAAATTAACTAATCGAGTCAAAATAATACTGTTTTTATTAAAGAGTATAGACGATTCATTGGAATTTTGAAATGTATATTTTAGATATTGTCAAGTATCTATATTCGTTATCAATTAACAAAATTTATTAAATTAATTACATTCTCAAATTTGTTTTTAAAATAATTATTGAAAAATAGACATAGAAAGAGATAAAGAATAAAAATAGAATTTTACAAGGAATAAAATATTTTTTTAATATAAGCTGTCTCATCACTTGAGTTTTTCCTTGACGTTTATTTTTCAGGTAATAAGGTTTTAAAAATATTTCTAGATATTTTTGAGATATACAATAATAATAATAATTTTCTATAAATAGGCAATAGATAAAGATAGCTTGCATATAATTCAAGAAATAAAAAATAATAAGAGAAATATCTGTAGATAAGGAATAGATATAGGTTTAATAAAATGAAATAAATCAAACCATTACATATAAAAAAGTTATTGTTACAACAATTTATATTTTTTCACAAATGTATTTTTTTCCTTTTCCTTTTCCTTTTCTTCAGGATTAAATACAAAAATTGGTGCAAGAAAGCAAAATGTATAAATAAATTTAACATGCATGCATCACGGATGAGTGAAAAAGATCAAATGATATTTTAGATTCACATATTCTTCTGAAGAATCTTATTATATATAAATTAACAATCACCTTAATGATTGTTAATTGCATATTTATTTTTATTTATATATACATATATATAACGCGCCAATTTTATCCTAATCTTTTATAGTCTATCCATCTAGTAGCTTGAGTTATTTGCATCAATAAATGAAATAAAATGACATGAGATTCAATAAATATTCTGTCGCAGGACAGAATAATTTCTTTACATAGAAATGTCTCAAAACTGATAGTTTTTATATCAATTATACTAAAATGCATAATATAATGTGAGATGACACATATTTCATATATCGTATTAAATGTAATTTCAATAACATTTTGCAATAAAATAACGAGATGTTTATATGAATTTACATGATATATGTGAAAATTTATAAAAACAAATGTCGCATGCGCGAGAATACGATAAATTCATTATATTGATTATTGCTTGATAGGTACCTTGTGCGTGAACTTATTGCTTCGGAAATTATCGTCTTTTTTGGATCTTACGTCAAGCATTCTCGAGGTTGGGTTCGCGGTTCGCGATTTGGATTGTACTAAAATTTTTCTGTTTATTTATTAATTTATTGATCAATTCATCGATTATATTTTAAATTGTGTCGATATATATATATATATATATATATATATATATATATATATATGTATGTATATATTATTATTTTATATATTATATTAATTTAATTGTTAATTATCATTACACTACGTGTTCCTAAACCATAAATAGACATATTAACAGTTAACTAAAAAATGATAAATATTATCGCAATTGTGATTTAAATCAGTCAAAAAATAAATGGATGGTTTAATCGATGGTTTTTGTTAGTCGTTTTACGGAGACGATTTCAAGCATTTGACGCATGCTCGTGACTTCATCGCCACAGTCCGTCATAGTATTTTGGATATGTGCATATTATAGTATTGAATATGAACAGCTGATAAT